TGAACGACACCGATTTACAACGCTGAAGAGATGAAGACATCGAAGCCCCTTCGGAAGGATGAGTACCGGATAGGACTGAATAATTAAGAATTGAGCGACATTAAAGACAAGAAAATGAAAGAACGACCCCGGACTAACGCGACGAGAGAAGAGACGCTTATAGACTTTGATTAGAACTTTAGCTATTTGCTTAGAGAACCGCTCGTTGGACACTGTAACTGACACTGTATAACTCAAGACGTTGAACTCTTTTCCAGAATCCTAACCCTATTGCTCAGTAATGTAATGTATTGCTTGCTTTTCCTATCGTTTTTTCTTACCGTTTTTTTTTGTGATGTCGAATTGTATGTATGTAAGCACCCAGATCTTTGTTTCGAACTGATATTTAGTGACGTGCGAGGTCCTTTATAACGATTTAAGCGCGCCTCAGTGGACAAGTATTTGCAACACAGTGTTTTGAGTTTTGTGAAGTTTATAGTGTTTTAATGAGTTTATGAGTACGGAATATGATGGGAGGAATGATGCCCCCACGTGTTTTTTAAGAGTTTTGAGATTTGTCGAGTACAGAGATACCGACGTTTTAAGAGTTGTTTTTGTTTATGTGTTGTTTCCGGAATACTTCTGACGCTTTTTGAGTTGATAGCACCTTTGTAACGTTTTTTTATGTCTTTTTGAGATGGGAGTTTGGTGCGCTTATATATGTATTGTTTGATAACGTAAGCTTTTGTTCATGATTGACAGGTTTATGTAATTCAGTAGTTTCTATCGTTTTGCCTTTTCCCCGTCTTTTTGCCAGAGGAGTAATGTGTTATGAAAGCGAATTTGTCTTTGCATTCTGTTTCCACGCCGTATGACTTGTGTTTAGATTAACGACTTGTGAGTTCAGTTGAAGTTTATAAGCGTATATGACAGGAGTTTGATTAATAGCTTGTTTATTCATTGTTTATTAGTTACCGCTTTGCAATGCTTTAACCGAGAGACGCATCCCTGGTAATCACGTGATTATGCTGTCGACTGCAGCGATTGGCTGATCGCTTGGTTACACCGCCACGCCTTAGTTTTTTTGACCTTTTGATATAGAGTTTGTAACCTTTAGTAACTGAGACAGTGCAGCGAAGGGTTACCTCAGCGAACCTGTTTGAGAAAAGTGAGTCATTTGGTAGCCTTTCCCTTGTTTTTGATTTATAACCGTTGATATTTGTGACTTTATAACCATTGTATTTAGACTTTTATAATCATTGTATTTAATTAGTGTGTTTTACTCTTTTTGATTTATACCTTTTTCTTAGTATTGTATTTAACCTGTATGACGATGAGTAGACGACGGTATCTTTGATTTATGAACGTGTTATGCCGGGAGGCACAATCTCAGTTTGGGTGAAGGGATGTGTCATGAATTTGTTTTTGCGTATCTGTTGACCGACTTAATTAGCTGATTATTAGCTGAATCGCTGTGTTATGTCTGTCATCGTTTTGGACGGAACTTGGCTCAGTGATTTGGAACTAATTACCAGATAACCATCGCGATTCTGACAGTTGGTATCCATAGTTATTAATGTAGTGAACGATTAATCAAAAGATATGACGTATTAAGTACTTAGTGTGATTGGCTTTATGATTGAAGGTTACGCCCTAGAGTCTTTTTACTGCTTTGTAATTGGTTAGAGTTGTGAAAATGAATAAAGAGAGTTTGAGTTGGTTTTGGGGAGCACAGCACGATAGACGCAGTAGAGAGAGTCCAGTCCTGGAGAGTCTAGAGCAGTCCTGGAGAGCCTTGGGGCGAGTCTAAGCACAGTCTTGGGCTAGTCTTGGGCCAGCCTTGAGATAGTCTTGGGGACTTTTCCCCAGGGCGCTGTGTCTTATAGAGTGCTCCACAGATCGACTAAGACGAGAGTTGAAACGTATTTCGTTGTGTGTGTCTTATTTGACCATAAAGTATAAGTGACTTCCCCGATCCCGTACCTCAAGGGGACGAGATAGAGAGACGAGACGAGTTTCCCCCCTGGCAAGTGTGGAGACCCCGAGGAGAAGATTTACCCCCTGATACTGATACAAAAGTCTAAAACTCGATAACATACTCAGTATTTAGTGAGTTATCAAATCTCTTGGTTTAATTCGGGACATGCACTTAAATATAGAAACTAAGTTATATTTACGTGATGGCGTCAACAGTGATTACGCCAGTTTACATACAAATCATCTGCTCAAGGTACCAATCCTTAGAAAGCGGGTATTATGGACCTATAAGAACATGAACATAGAGTGAAATCCAACTCACCGACCCTTTTCTCTTCCTCCCAATCATGAATGATCTGTGACATTGCTTCCTCGAAGCCTGGGCCGTCGCCAAGTACATCCACTGAAATACCGTTATTTTCGCTTGTATATTCTCGCTGAATTGTACTCGCGTCCACGGTGTACAACTCCCAAACATCGATACATTCTACAATACCTAATTCTTCAAGCTTCTTGTACAAGTACAGCCGCCTGTGCCCTTTGAACACAAACCACTGCTTTCGCTTTTCCCAATAAAAAACCGACATTTTCAGAATTCTGTCGGTGGTTAATCGGCCGTCCAGAAGTTCTCGAAAAGTCTCCAGCAAGTATCTGCCATCATTGAAGCGATAGCTGATGGAATTTTGAAGAAAATATATCTGAGACGGGCGAAGCGTTCTATACGCCATGTTGGTCAACTGCCGCCAATGTTTACAAAGGTTGTATACGGTGGAATGGTTTCACATTACGATTATGCAACTGATACTCGTATATATGCGACGTGTATCCGTTCCCACTTAATTCAAGTGTGTGTATCGATGTCACTCGCTCACTTCACGGGTTTATTCAACATGTGCAAACAAACAAACAAACAAATCACTGACTGCACTCGGTTCTACTTAAACACATCACCACACTAAACACTACAAATAAGATATCGTAAAAAAATACGTACGAAAGCAAATGTGAATAATATATGTAGTGAAGACGATGTATATCCATTGTGACCAAAACCGTACAAATATAAGCATAAAGTGTAACTAAATACACTTTGTATATGCTTGGTATGAACGAGTTTCGCGCATTATATTTTAACTAGCAGAATTTGTACAGGATTATCATTGTATTCTTATATGATTCCCATAGTATTCTTGTAGAATTCCAATGGGATTCTTGTATGATTTCTACAGAATTCTTGTAGGATTCCAATAGTATTCTTGTAGAATTCCCATAGTATTCATGAAGGATTCCAATTGTATTCTTGCTGGATTCCCATAGTCTTCTTGTGGGATTCCCATACTATTCTTGTATGGTTCCCATATTTTTCTTGTAGGATTCCCATAGTATCCTTGTAGTATTCCCATAGTATCCTTGTAGTATTCCCATAGTATCCTTGTAGGATTCCCATAGTATCCTTGTAGTATTCCCATACTATTCTTGTATGATTCCCATATTTTTCTTGTAGGATTCCCATAGTATCCTTGTAGTATTCCCATAGTATTCTTAAATGATTCCCATAGAATTTTTATGGGATTCTCAGTGTTCTTATATGATTCTAAATTGTGTGCCTGTAGGATTTGTATAGCATTGTAACGTAGTTATGCTTTGGGTGCAAATATATCACTATTAGACTGATTTATAATGATTGAGCTTTATGTGGAATAAATCACTCGGTAAAATAGATACAGTACAATTTGTTTTATTTATTTTACAACGTTAGTAAGTATATAAGACACAGAACGCACGATATAGTTACTGTCAAATTTACCTAGCTTTACATACGTGCATAAAACTGTCTCATGAAAACTATACATTTTAGAATGTGCTGAACAATCTTCGGGTGGGGTCACGGAGCTGTGTATGTAGGTATCGTTGAAACCATAATAAGCCATAGGTGTTGACTGATATTCCATTATTAATTATTTACGCAGTCACTGATTAGTTGACCTCCGTCTGCGTGGAAAACGCGGTAATGTTCTATTTCCCTTTTAAAAGTTAAACGGTAGTTCTGTTCCAGTTTTAGTTCGTGCTCAACTGTGGATCAGATAGTGCATCATGTTTTATGGCATTCTACAAGTTTATGTATTTATCAGAAGTTTACACTTTCGTTTGAAGAATTTCGTTCGCAAATACTAAATGCATTTTAATCAACCAACCACAGTAGAGTTTGTATAGCCCAGTTTGTGGGTGGAATTAAAGCCACGGTGGGTTTAGATAAATCTCACAAATCGGGTTACGATGATATCGGACATATGGCATCAATCACGGACGGGCCTAGACTAGACATGGGGAAATTGTAGGTACGTGTCACTGTACATTTGCTCCCACACAAAACATTCCAGTACGTTAGACCAACAGAACACTGCTGGTCCCATTTATATATCAAACGGTTTTGAGTCGAGTAACAGACATGGACGTGCCGATTAAACCGAGTTAATGTTTTCCTGTATGATTCAAATGATGATTTTATTGTGTTTAGTATTCTTATTGAATGGAACTCTTTTTAAAATTCAATAGTAAACTTATTGGATTTCCAGGGTATTTTTAGTAGATTTAGTATTCTTATTGAATTATATTATTCGTATATGACTTCAATGGAATTATGTTCAAATTTCAATCGTAAATGTATTTTTTCAGGGTATTTTTTAGTTGATTTACAATATTAATTGTTTAAGATTCCGATAATTTTGTTTTTGCAATTCAAGAGAATAAATAACAGATACACAATTCGATGTTCGGGAGGTTGTAGTTATATGCAGAATTTCAAGTTTATTATACATGTATACGATATATTAAACCTAAAAAATCTTTACACACTAGCACGTCTCACTCTTTGCTAACAATGTGCCCAGCCTTAAATACCTTAAAAAAATCTACAAGCTAGCACGACTCTCACTTTGCTAACAATGAGTCCAACCTTAAAGCACCACATGTTCGAATTTCATGCAAAAAAAAACAAAAAACAATTCAACATATGTCACAAGCATTGTTTGCGTCACACGTGGTATTTTACGGAGAATAATTAATTACTAAGCAATCCATTTTTGTATTTAAGTTAAATCACTTGTGACAATATTATTATACTAGTTAGGCATAATAAGTGTTGTATATTTCAGTGTTACTTGATACATTCTTGATACTATTAACTTGTGTCTGATACCTTGATCATCACTCTAATAGTACCATTTTCACCCTTTTTGGCTGCCTCGAAAGCATCCAACGATTTGGCCAGGGGAAATTTATGTGTCACCAGAGGTTTTACATCTATCTTGCCAGATGCTACCATCGACAGGGCCGTCGGATATCTGCAACAAATAAATAAGTTCTTATCTAATTTCAGCGAACAAACAGAGTTGGGTAAATCACTTTATAAACGTCTGTAACTGTTTATTCTCATTGGCTGTGATAGTATACTGTATATGTTATATAAAAAAAAATTATTACTATCACCACAAGAGGGCGGTTGTACAGGTGGACGTACGAGTTTGAATATGATGCGAGTGATTTGCCTTTAAAAATAGAAGTGATATTCCGCGTCCATCAATACCAAGTGTTTCCAATAACTTCCAAATAATAAAATAATTATATTGTTTATTGTGTGATGTACTCACCCATGTCCATAGTGGGATATAGTGCGGATGTTAATTTCTCTGGTTATTGCATTCGATATCGGTATTGTGGCATCATCGGGACCCAGACCAACCAAACACACGACACCGCCCGGCTTTGTTGCCTGTGCATGAAAGGCGTGTGCAATAAATAATTGTTGCTGCTATATCACTACACATTGTGTCAGTTTTTGCGATAAGTAATTAAGTAAATTTTAACAATGATGCCATCATACAGCGCGCATTCTAACTTCGCGTTATTAAACCATGATTGCGTGGGGCCCACATGTGTAAGACGCTGTATGATGACTGTGGTGCTTTAATAAACACTGAGTATTAGAATAAGTATTGATTTATTGTTTCAAACATGCACTGAAAGTAAGTAGTTTTGATACAAAATACCGACTATAACTACCCCATCGAGCAACTTACATATATCCCAGTCTGGACACTAGATGGCGCACCACAACACTCAATAGCGATATCTGGCATACAACCTAAAGCATGTTCTATTTTCTTTGCAAACTTGCGAACATCTTTGCTGTCGGCGACCATTGTGTAATCTGCGCCGAGTTGCTTAGCACATTCCAACCTGCTTTGATCAATATCTTGAAATAAATATTGATTAAATGTACATGTGTGACTTTACATACATCAGCTTATAGGTGTATGACGTAAAACGAATCCATCCAAAAGATAAACAAAAATCGAGTATAATCACTAACACCCACCTGTAACAACAATGTCCGTAGCTCCCATGGCCTTCGCAGTGAGCAGAGTTACAAGACCAATGCTACCTAGAGGTGAAAAGCAACTGTGTATTAGTTGTTGTTGTTGTTGTTGTTGTTGTTTTTCTCAATTATAACAAGTATTTGGATAAATGTTACACTGCCTTTACTTTAGTGCAGCTTAGAGTAATGTGGAGTGACTGCATGTGTTTAAACATAAGGCCAAAAAAGACTTATGTTGCCCTCAAGTCGGAAAATTGAAAAATTGGATCGGTAGGTCGGATTTTGCTTTAACTCGTGAAAACTAAAGGTATCGTAAATAGCCGAGGTATATCGGAATCAATCAAATGCATGCTAGATATTAAACACAAAAATCAGATATTTCTTTCAGTCTTTTGTATTTAAATACAGATCAACTCAAAAAAACCGCGACACGATATTTCATATTTTTCGGTCGGTCGCTGAGGGCAACGAAACAATTTTTTTTTGGCCTAACAGTGCTTAATGGGATATCTCCCAATCTCGCTATATGTGGTCATCTTTGGGGTATTTTTAAAAATTCCAATGAGGAATAAGCGCACACCTTCATTGAATAGTTATTTCACGAGGACTACGCTCAGCTCTTCTCCTTCCGAGTGGTGTAGTGTGGTGTGGTGCGGCACGGTACAGTGTGTTGTTGTGTGGTGTTGCGTGTTGTAGTGTGGTGGTGCAGTGTGGTGTCATATAGTACAGTATATTCCATGGTATAGGCTAGTATTGTAGTAGCGTGAATCGTATCTTTTGTAGCATAACTTCCCGTGGCGTAGGATTTATTACCTGCACCGCCGATTAATATTTTACTTCCCAGAGTGACACCAGCTCGTTCACATGCGTACACACCGACAGCCAATGTCTCTAACATTGCTCCTTCTTCTAAACTCACGTGATCAGGAAGTCTGTTTAGAAAACAAAGAGAAAAAAACATGTGAAAATAGCGATTCTCATACAGGAGCATTTGTTTAAAGAAAAAAAAAATAATTTCTAGAATATGATTTTTGAAGAAACACACTTTAACAAAAGTGGTGTGCATATCAACTTGAACATTATTAGTAATGATATGTTTGTAAATTGGAACAAACACTATATATTCCAGAAAGTTGGCGCATGTGAGCTGTATTCAATGTTCATTAATTCCAGCATCAGAGTACTGCACATTGGTTTATCAAGTGTTATATAACGATAATCAATAATTACTCCTGATAAATCTTTAAAAATACAATCGTTTTATTATCGAAAGCGACTGATGCATCATTGGTAGCTGAAAAAATCTTATTATTTTGATTGTCCAATAGGCGTAAGGCAGGGTTGTATGGTAAGCCCGGATTTGTTTAGTTTGTTTATTTATTGAAAAATTGAATTTAATGCTAATGAACTCGGGAAATATGGGCATTCAGTTAACACAAGATATTTATAATTTATTCTCAAGGTTGATGATGTTGTTATTTTTGCTGAATCGACAGAAAACTTACAGAGATTAATAAATATTTTAGGACTATTATATCGAAAGTAGAGCATGGCAGTTAATCTTTAAATGATCAGAACGGCAACGCCGCCGACGTAACTAGTTATTATAATATATAGGTCTTGTTCTTTCCTCTAGTAACTTCTGGTCAAAAGCTGTTGCAACTCTCAGACTGGTAGAACAAGCAAACATAGCGATTGCAGGTAGAAATGTAAGGGACTTCCATTTAAATTCACATTTCAAATTGTTTGATTCATTGATATTATCGATTTAAATTTTCGGGTCTAATGAATTTGGGGCTATCAATACTTTGAAGCAATAGAAACGGTACAACGTAAGTGGTGCAGGAAATTGCTGGGTCTACCTCCATAGCCACACATATCATAACAGTTATTGGAGTATATGTAGTATTTGTGGAAGATGACTTTCATTACTAGTACCTTCTTGTGTGTCATACCTATCAATGTTGAGGGCGCAATTCATAGTGCATAAAATCTCTTACGTACATGTACTTTTATTTTTAATTATTCAATTACGTCATGGTTACCCTTTCTGTAATTTCGCTGTTTTTTAATGTAATTGATTTTTTGTAAATACTTATTTCTGATATACTAGTGTCATAGTTTGTGTACTTTTTACCTTGAAATACAAATAAACTATATTCCATGCATCATTGACAAATTTTAATAATAATAATATATATAAACAAATCTCTACATCGAAGTAGTTATTGTTATTATAATAAACTGTACGCGAAACATACTAAATTGTTTGTTTTTTGTAAGAAATCCGTGAATTTTGTAACTTACTTGTGACACAAATCATCTGGATGACAATAATATCGTACAAGTGTCCCGTTGGTCGGCGGGACGCCGCAAAATTTCAAGTCTGTGCAGAGATTGTATCTTCCACGCTTGCAGTAGTCACATGTTCTACAGAGTATACTTGGTTCAATTGCAACTCTGTCACCTAGAAAACGATGGGGTGTCAAGATTTTTTTCAATTTACATGTATTAGTTTTGTTAATCTGGGATTTTGGTGTGTAATGGGACGCTATCATAAACGGTGTAGGGAATCCTAGTAAAATTTATTAGGCAACCTGAATAGTCTGGTATTACCAGACAGTGTCATCGCGACATGTCGTGTTCAAAAGGAGTCCTGTGCAACGCATGCAACGCACGTAAAATCTTTAGATTTACACACAATTCTGCTGATTTGATCTATGCGTGTTTATGGCAGTAGATCTAGTGATACCTTGTAGTACGACAAACGATGTGGCTCACAACATGGCATTTTATAAAATCATTTTTACAATTCATTTAGATTTTTACAATTCATTTACATTTTTACAATTCATTTTTATTTTATAACACTTTTTTAATAGCATTCATCTCCGATCCTGATATCCATTTTTATTTTCGTTTTTAAAATCCATTTTTGCATTTCAAATCCGTTTTAATTTTTTAAAATCCATTTTTTTTTAAAAATCCTTTTGCATATTTAAAATGCATTTTGGTTTTTACAATTCGTTTTCATTTTAAAATCTGTTTTCGTTTTTGTTTTTGTTTACCCACGTTTTATTTATGTCATTTTTATGGTCCGGGAAACGTTCTGAGCACCTATATGAAACATAGAACTTTCTATGAACTCGCAGAACCACGGCTAAATAAGTTATAGTCTGAAGAAATACTTACGCAAGAACACGCGCGGTTTTAGGGGGAGGCGGTCGAGCGGTCCAGCCCACGTCAATAGGAGCCCTCCCCCCACCCCTCCCCTTACCGAATTTCTGGATCCGCCAGTGAAGAAGCCTTATCATTAATGATATAAATCAACAATCTCTAAGATAAGAGGGCCAGGTTACAGGTCAAAAAGCGAAAATGAATTTTGAAAATGTAAGCTGAAATGATATTCGAAACAGTGATTTTTCAGTAATTTCTGTTGAAAAATTTGCTTCAAATTGAAAAATGAACTGTCTTAATTAAGGATTTTAAAAACGCGATACGGGATTTTAAAAACAAAAATGAATTTTAACAATTGATTTTTAAAATAAAAACATCTCAGAAACGAAAGTGGGTTTAAAAAATCGATTAGGATTAAAAAATAAAAATTAATTTCGTAATGTAAATGAATTGTTAGCATGGTTTTATAAAATGCAATGTTGTGAGCCACCTCCGAGTCGGTTGCCGTATTGTAATAACATGTACCACCACCACCTCAACGCCACACATCAACGCCACAAATTATTCAAATCATTATTTGGTTGAAAGAGCACTCATTAATTACACTTAGGTTTAAAGCGGGAGGGATGTCACCTACGCACGCGCGGGAATTGAGTCCCGAGCAAAGATAACAGCACACGCTAAAAACGCAAAGGCTCATGGGTAGACGCTTGTTTGTAAACATTGCACGCTATGACCATCTGATGCATGCGCAGGTGACGACTCCCCCGCTTTAACTGAACTCAACGTCACGCACCAACTTTGAGTCTTGTGACCCCCTCGCCCAGGGCAGCTACCACACCGCTGGGCTCGTGTCCTAATATTAACGGGGCTTTCACGATTTTATCTCCAAAGTTTCCAGTCATCCAGATGTGAACATCTGTGCCGCAAATACCAACTGAATCAACAGCGATGAGTACTTCTGAATAATACATGTACAGAAAAGGAATGATTAATATAATAAATCTGACAGAAACTACAAAATGCTTTTATTTCATCAATATTTATATAATTCGATATACATTTTCTGGCATGGCATAGAATTTTCAGAATTTTTGTTTGATGAGACATATATTCCAAATGGTGACAAAGAATATTAGGTATAATAACAATAATAAGCGCATATGAATATGTCACTCACCGTGCTTAGCTGGCGTGGGTGTTTCCGTTGTTTTCTGTGGTAAACAAAAAAAAAAATAATAATAATAATAATAATAATAATAATAATAATAATGATAATAATAATAATAACTTTATTGACGTTATTCATTTTGAGTAGAACATATTCAAATTTATATAATTTAGAGAGAGCAAGGTTATGTTTCATCATTTTGAGAAAAAATTGCATTTTGCTTGCCTTCGATTTTATTAGTAATGTTACACTCTAGAAATAAAGATCGTCTTTCAATTTCAATTTTATATGCCTGCCTTTCTCGATCATTAAAAGAGAACTAAATAGAGCCTAATTTGGTTTTGTAATTCTTACGTTATGTATATTGATTATAAATTAGAAAAAAAATTGAAGAATGATGATTATCTTCAGAGTTATTATGATTTTAATATGAGAAACCATAAAACTATGAAGGATTTCCGTCAGCGCCATCTTGCCATAAATAAAACGCCCACATGAGGTATAAACAAGGCAACAAAGCAAGATGACTCAAATAGTATCTGATTATATATAAGTAACTTAGGGGCCAAAGTTAGCTGGATTGGTGAATTAACTTCCAGCCTAGGGAGTTTCGACTTTTACGTGAATTTTATCACAGTCCCTCTATCATATATAGATGGACTGTGATTTTATTTACAAGCGTATAAACATGCCCACGTGCGCTGCTCGATGCGTTCAAAGTCTTGATGCTGGAGTATGCAATCTTGAGTTCGTAGAGAGTGGTGTTGGAAAACTTTTCGTCCATGCATTCTGTTCTTCTGCAACACAGACGCTCACCGGGCTGCACTGGCAAATCAATGGGAGAATTGTCACAGGAGCACCAAGTAGATTGTTCACTGACTTCCTCGTAATTTGAAATAAAAATATCATCCGAACAAGGGGCATCGTTGACGTCAGATACACTCACACTGTACTGATCTGAATCTTCGCTAAGTTTGCAGCCTACCGTACCTCCCCGATCATAAGCACAGGGCATGATACATGTAAAATCGAGAAAAGTAAGGGGTGGGCTTATACTCGAGGACCACCTCAGAAAAGATGATTTTTTTTTTGTTTAACATTGTAACCATCTTACCACCCACGAAAAATGATCCACGTTATATCGTTCGTACACCACGCCGAGCTAGGGGAAATATTATTACGTCTTTTTCAAAAAAAAAAATGAGTCACTGATTTCCACGACACTTTTACAATGAAGAAAAAACATGTTCAAAAAATATACACATATTATACAATACACGATACGATTTACCGTCTGAATTTCCGGTGTAAAAATAGAGTAGGGTAGGGATCGTGGAAAAACAGTCAAAGACAAGATCTTTAGCATTATCTTCGTGTTGGGATGGTTTCGGTCGTATGCAAACTCTCGAAGCAATTTGACCTGAAACAACGTTCTTTGAGCTAACAGGTCCCGTCTTTCATTAACCAATCAAAATGCTGTGTCGTACTGGCGAAATTTTCCGATTGTTGACGATTTTTATAACGCAGTGGTCGTCGAATTGCGCATATGCGACACTTGTGTTGATAAATATTGATTTTCCCATAATCCAATGCGCTCTTCTAATGGTAATCACACGTATGAGGTTTGATCTGGGCGAGACTTATACTAATTACCTAATTAAAACTTGGAAATGTCTCAGTCCGACATTGCTCCGACCGTGTATACGCATCGGGGCCCAACTATCGGAGCCGAAATCACGCCCTCAATTGTCTTCTTCAAGTAATCTCTTATTTCATTTATGGCGGAGACAACATTCTGCAATTCACGCAATTCACGCAATTTCTGACAAGAAAAATGTGGTCGCGGCAAACGACTCTGCTACGATGGCACAATCATCTTTAACCTGTAAGCATCTGCTTTACTGATTGGCTAAGAATGACATCAATACTAGTGTTTCATCATATAGGTCAAATCATGCTTTCTTATCAGACTATACGCTCGCGCTCATCAATCATGGTGAAAGTTATCATTCAGCAAGTTCTTGAAATAGGAAGAATTTTTTCTCTAACGACAGAAGAGTAATTTTCAAAACAGGAATGCAGCAGCTGTAAAGATGGCAAATACCGGATCAACTGTCATACAACTTTACAAGATCAATAATAATTTACAAATTTGCAGAGTAAAAATTACGAAAGTTCATAGTTGTTTGAAAAAACTTGTCGGGCCTTTATTTGTACGTTCATTGCCATCTTCGTCAAAGTCAAAACCCTAAAATTCCAAGTCAGCGTTACTGTCGCCGTCGAACAAAATCCCTACAGCTTCGTCCTAAAGTTCGTCGATGTCGTTGCACCACAGATTTTGCTCTCTGTCAGCTTGGCACTTTTTATTCATGTCTAATTACAATTGCTACGTTGACACGACAGCATTTTATTGGAGCCCCACGAGCCAGCAAAATGGCCGTGTATCCGCGTTCAGCTCAAACCACCCTCGGGTGTTGAACTCTGTTAGGGTTGAGCCCCGACAGTGTATACGCATCGGGCCCAACTATCGGAGATCGAAGCCGAAATCACGCCCTCAATCGTTTTCTTCAAGTAATCTCTCATTTCAATTATGGCGGAGAAAACATTCAGCTGTTTGAAATTAGACGCAATTTCTGACAAGAAAAATGTGGTCGCGGCAAACGACTGCTACAATGGCACAATCATCTTTGACCTTTAGGCATCTGCTTTACTGATTGGCTAAGAATGACATCAATACTAGTGTTTCATCATAGAGGTCAAATCATGCTTTCTTATCAGACTAGACGCTCATCAATCATGGTGAAAGTGTATCATTCAGCAAGTTCTTGAAATAGGAAGAATTTTTTCTCTAACGACAGAATGCAACAGCTGTAAAGATGTTAAAAAAAGTTGGCAGTCTTCGGCGTGACATTGCAAAATTGCTAGCCCAGCCACAAGCTGCTACCAAATATTTTATTAAGCCAAAATAACGTGATTTCAACCACTCTCCCGGGTACGAGTTGCTACAATATAGCAACATTGGTTTCATTGTCGACGACGCCAAAGCCGAATGAGTGCGACACTTGCTACGCGGCTCTCCATATACTGTAAAATTTGCTTGAATCGTTTCTAAGAAACACAAACCAAACAGCCCTTTTCAAAAATAGAACTACTGTTTCTGCTTTAATATATATTTTTTGTAGACTTGCTGACTGTTATGATTCTGATAAAAAATCTTGAAAATAAATGTAAATAAATATAATGCTCTTATATGTTTTCATTACCCCCCCCCCGTGCCACCACCACAAAAATACCTTTATTGCTAATTATATTTATAATAATTATCATTATTACTAATGTGGATAGCATCATCTGCATACACCATAACTGACTGCTTTCTGTCAGCTACAAAGACAAGTTTATCATCGCTCTCAGGCAACGAGCTTTCATATTAGTATACACAATAACTTCATTTGTCCCCGTTCGTTCCCGCGCGTGTCCGGACAGTCCCGTGCGTGTCCGCGCGTTAATTAGTACAACCCCAATATCTTGGCCATTATAAAAATTCGGGTCAATATTCTGGCCATTAAGAAAATAGTAGTCATTACAATGGCCAGAAGTGACTTTTTAAAAGGGTCTGACTAGTGAAAAACAGTGTTAAAGTGAAATGAAGAATTATTATAATAATAACTTCCACACTAACTTAAGAGTACAAATAAATATTCAAAACGCGACGGAATTTCCGAAAGTAATCCGGGCGTTGTTTGGAGTATTTAATCTGTTTATTAGTTTTTATTCATATTCTTTGTTGATACCAGTTCCAACTGAAATATCACTTACTTGTACCACTTGTTTATTGATTGTGTCCCCAGAACAGACGTTTTCTTTCATTCTATCAATAGTTTCTGATTGTGTAAGGAATTCCGCCATTTTGTTTGTTTGTTTGTTTGTTTATTTGAATTACCGTCCTTCAATTCTATGTAGTCCGTTTGTTCCCAATCTGTATAGTTTACCTCTTGTACCATATGATTCCACCTTTAGTATGAAATGTTAATTATATATAATTATGTTCTGTGCTCTGTTGCATAGCTTTCCACAGTAAAATAATTACTTTCTTTCTTTTTTTTCTCTGTTCTGTAGTTTTAGTGACCTTACTGCTGTACTTTCCTACGCCAGTGTCGGGGTCAATAAATATACTATACTATTCCACCATTGTTGACATCATTTCATGCCGATTTTAAACTTTTTTTTTTTTGCACGGCATTCCTCATTGTACTTCTCTTTTGTCGCCTCGATCCATAGTGGCAGCCCAACTGTCGATGTCTTGAATTTCTCCTTGGTTGGTACTGCTGCATTGATTTTATAGTCAAACATGTAGTCAATGTCACGGTGTACTTCGTATCTGCCCGTACTAGGTCCGCCATTGTTGTATTGTTTACTGGTGCACTTTGTACGCCCATGGACGTCATAACAAAATCACTATTCACCTCGTTGGCTATCACACTTCTCCTGCATTCTGCCATCGTTCACTGATTACTATATATATATAACTCTCAATGCTTATATAAAAAAATGACTTGTATGCAAGTATAAACTTCTAAAATGCCAGTTATACGTAGAACTGTGTAAACTAAGTGTTTACTGTGGGCTACTGTCACTGTAGTTTTATATACACATGCGGTAATCTCGTACTGATAATCTATGACAGAACTCTTTGATATACGGTAATTTAATTCTCTATTAACCTGGTGGTCGTTTACCCAGTTGTCAGTTGAACACCAGGGTTGAACCCGGTATAATCCTAAATTTACCTTTCCCCCTCCATCCTTTCAGGTACCTGGTACATTCTCTACGAGCGCGAGCGTGTAGTCGTTTCCTTCTTTGATTCATCGCCAGAGTCAAACATCTATCTATTTTTAATACTCGTAACATGCAGATGAGCGAACGATACTGTCTATCGATATTTGATGCATCAAATAAAATACTTACCACTGTGAGAACTCCTTTTTCAAGAAAAACTGCTACATTATCGTTAGTGTTTAAAGCCATTGTTCGTCCGGGTATGGTAGCTTTACGATGTGTGGCAAGTTGCGCACCGAGGAAGAACATCGAATCGCTATCACCTCTTCCACGGCGAACACGAGAGGGATACTATTAGAACGTGCGGTATGAGTCGGGCTTGATTGGTGACCAACTACATACATTCAGGGTACGTTTGTTTGTATGTATTGGTGGGTGGGTGGGTGCGTGTGTAGGTGTAAGCAAATCGCAACAAAAATATCACAGCGAATTTTAATAAAATTTGGGGCATAGATACCCTGAAGTAACGTGCATATTTGGTAGCAAATTTACATATTCAATTTCTCATAAACTTCTGAGTGGGTTTTTATTTGGGAGAAATATTCGTGTCCATGCTTATTACGTAGCTAATCTTTTTTTAATATTTGCAAAATAATCAGGTTATTATCAAACTCCCTTCAAATTCCCTCTCACGCGTGTGTTCGCGCAAGCGCACAATGAAAGCGAGGCAAGGAATTCCCCAGCTGCACTCGGGTCAGGTCAGAAACTGTTTTGCTCGATAATTCGTGACAAGATAAATTATTATGATGCCAGTACAGACACGCCACCCGAAGTCAGGAAAGCAGATTGACTCGAAAATCAAAAATGTAAATACGACCGAAACCACCGATTTTGATTCAGCGAGTAGGTATGTAAAATTCAGTGATATCTCTGGATTACCGCGATGTTCTCAGCACGTGTGTTAACATTGGGGGACGGTCGATTCGTCCCAAATCACATTCGTCCCAAGTCGATTCGTCCCACAAGTCGATTCGTCCCAAGTCGGTTCGTTCCACAAGTTAATTCGTCCCAACGTCTATTCGTCCCACAAGTTAATTCGTCCCAAAGTCGATCCGTCCCAAAGTCGATCCGTCCCGCAAGTCGATTTTTCAGATTTGAGGTGATCCGAACAACAAACTGTTCACGTAATTGTTCGTTACGCCATTTTGATTTTGTCGACGTTGGGTTATACCATAATACAATATACAAATAAGTATGGTGGTGCTGGGACGAATCGACTTGTGGCACGAATGTGAATTGGGACGAATCGACTTGTGGGACGAATGTGAATTGGGACGACTCGACTTGTGGGACGAATGTGAATTGGGACGAATCGACTTGTGGGACAAATGTGAATTGGGATGAATCGACTTGTGGGACGAATGTGAATTGGGAGGAATCGACTTGTGGGACGAATGTGAATTGGGACGAATTGACTTGTGGGACGAATGTGAATTGGGACGAATTGACTGTGAATCGGGAACATTGATATGAGGCCATCGACACAAAAAAGTGAATACGTAATAATATTGCGTGGTATGATAGCCCAAACTTATTTCTTGTCGAACTTTAACCCGCTCAACTATTGGTCGACCGAGCTGTTTTATTGATATAAATTGTCAAATCAACGAAAAACATAACAAATACGACGCCAGCAGGCATTGTTTTTCAAGTCAATTGCGCATAATGCACGATTAACAGTTATTTGTTTAAATATAATTATGTTTGTTAGTTTTGTGCGTGTGTTTTTTTTCAACAAAATAAAATATGGTGTATAAACGGCGAAAGAAAACCCTTGCAAGTGGCATATCTTGTTTATACACTCGCATAACTAGAGACTGTATGAATGTCTAATGTCAATGTTTTTTAGTCTCCGTTCGTTAGCAGTCTGAAAACGAGGACTTGTGTTTTGTCCTCTGTGCGTCATGTGTGTCTGCGTGCGTGCTTGTATGTGTGCGTCAAACTTAACGAATACATCATACATGATATTATACATGTGCACATCAATTTGTTTCACAATCTGATTCAAGATGACCATATGGCGGCCATTTCTTTGCTAAAAATCATCAAAATCATATTGCTGACGTTTTTATATTTCAGCTATATTACTATAAACAAAACAATATATCTTAAATTCGATAACTAACAGGGACTGTGCCGTGCCAAGCATGGTTTGTTTAATAATGTTTTGGCTGTAATTGCAATTTTGAACGCAATGAATAATGTAATGAAATAATTCATAGTTAATAATTCATTATATCCATTAGTTGTGATAGTCTTATATAATTAGTCACATACATATAACTGATTAGTATAGGCACGGTGAGTGATTATTCCTCATAGTGATAATTTCACCAACTAAATTCATCTTTTTAAATTCTTTGTGTTTGATGGTCATACAGTTCTTGTAAAAACAAGATGTAAATTACATGTCTACTTATATATTCTCAAATTTGTGACTGTCTTCTGTTCTGGTGAATACACCACATGTAAGTTGCATGCCAATTCCCTATCCCTAATTAAGTACATGGTCTCCAATTGAATAGTTTCAGCTATATTCAATTAAAGTTGGTACGCTACGCTACAGTCCTCCAACCAAAACAATAACCTATATCAACTCCCTGTGTAGCCATGCTGAAAGATCTGCCATCTTTAATGACTTTCTTGGAATTACACAATTCACTGAATAATTAATACTGGTCCACTGAATGTGTCATAACATCAGTGGCCATAGTTTACACATTACAGCAGTCTGCAGAACACACATCTGGACAATGACAAACCTGAGTTGGGGAGACTGTGGCTTACAGCATAACTTAACATTTAGCTTTTTTTAAACTGGCTTTAAACTAGCTTAACTTGCTTTCAAACTGCCATATATCTAAACTGCTCAGAGTGACATGGTTTAATACGACAAAAATTTATTTTAAAAATAAGATAAGATAAGCACCATCATTTTTTGTGCAATTTTTTTCATTATTTTATGTCTTTTTATAGTTTCCGTTCTGATGTAATCTGAAAACAGTGACAGAATTTCTGCAATTCCAAAACTGCAGGCTTAAATTTCATTCAAATTTATATGTTTATTGAACACAATGGGTTCGTGATGCACATAGTTTTTTTTTCAGATCAGATTGAAAATGGTGGCCATTTTGTTTTTTCTGAATGTTGTTTTTGGAGCTACATTGTTAACACTGACTGGATTGATCATGTTCACATACAATATGTAATACATTTGCACATGCATCTGTTTCAGAATCTGATTTAAAATGGTTGATTGTTATTTTTATACTGGAAATGCATTATGGATGTCATATGAAGGAATTGCACAGATAAATAAATCATGTCTGTCACATGAGTGTAAATAATTATTTGGGCGCTAATATTGCCAGTCACTAAAAACTGGATGGAATGTGTTTTATGCACAGTAGCTGGTTCCCATAAATGATAGGCCATGGGCTGTCACCTTGTAATTACATTACACGTCTGAATGTTCTAAGTGACATATTGTAAATATTCGTTTATCATTTTCAGCCCAGTGTCTGGAACTAGCCCCAGTTCAAGTGACGAAAGCAAGTCAGAGATAGAAATTAAGAAAGAAAAGAAAAAAAAGTCTAGTAAACGATCAGTTCTTCCAGCAGGAATATTTCACATTGAGCTGTGGGTGACTTTAACAGTTGTATTTATAGTGCTGGACATTGGTAAACATGTTGTCAGGGTAAGTATGCAGACGAAAACATTATTATCAAATCAAAGTGGTAATATACTCAACACTTAGTTTATATCAGTGAACATTTACAGTTTTGCGACCTGTAAAATTTGCAATTTCAGAATTTTGGTGTCATTTCCTGGAACCCAATTTTCGGGGTGGATATCCAGGCATTTTCACCACCTGGCAACCATCATGATGAAAACAAAGGCCGAAAACTCTCAGTACTTTGGGTGGCTGTTGAGACTCTACTAAACAGTGTAACATGCATGTCCAACATATATGAATTTGGATGTTCAGTATTACTGCAAAGTTGAGTGTGTGGTGTTTTTTCAAATTTAGATATTTTCACCGACTCTTCGACCAGCGTTCCACAGCAGCTTGCACAGAGCCCATAGAAATACATGGTACAGTGGTGCGCGTCTTAGTAGGGAACGTCTTTTGACGTAGCTCCGCTCCGAGGATATCATGAAAAAACAGACGATTTCGGGGGACCCAGCTCTTTCACACTTCTTATGTCAAATTTATTCACAAAATAAACTTTTTTAATGTTTTGCAAATTTGTAGGTAATGTGAAACTGTGTCCATTTTGTCCAAAATAAACAATGATAAATGTTATACATAAAAGTGTTACAAGATGTTGCAATATTTTAGCGAGAAAAACGATCCTATTTCTTTTTTTTTTATTGACTGAAATTTTGTATCTCACCAACTAAAATTTTTTTTTTTTTTTTTATACAGATAGTTTGGTACAATATACTTGTATATTATAACACAAAACTATGTACCGGATTCTGCCGTATATTCGCCCATCACAAAAAATCAAATGGGGATCAAATTTTCACAAAATTATCATCAAATATTTTTAGGGGGCTTATATTTCTTTGAAAAATCCACCTACGTCGATTTTCAACACCGGCAGTTGGACCACCCAAACTGAAAGACACTATTGCAGAAGTTAATCTAAAATTGTATACATTTTTTCTAGCTGAATTAAAAAGTAGATGCCGCATCTTTCTCTTTTGTTTCATTTTATTAGTAACAAAAGTATATTCTAAAACTAAAAGAAGTTTCAAATAACAACGAACACAACTGCATTCCTTAGTAGCAAATGATCGTGGTAGCTTAATCCGGTCAGGCTGCGTTTCACAATTGTTTATTATTACCTAGTAATGATTATAATAACGTACAAAAAATTCATTGAATTGTTATGAAATGCAAATAGATTTCAACTTATTTCATCGTAAGTGAATGATTCTGATCGTATTTTCAACACTCGATGCTGTAGTAATGAATATCTGCCATGTTTCGACCTGACAAGTCAAATCGATATAATTAACCAATGAAAACGATGGATGATGCCAACGTGTTCAAATTACCATATAGCTCATTTAAATATGTTAATGTTATTAAACGCAATGTGAAAGAGATTTACTGATGTTGTAGTACCTACGATCTTTTGGCTTGGATTTTGATGGGAAAGCGGCATGATTTGTTTTTAAATAAAAAAATTAGTTGTTTTCAAAAGATAAACTGAGCATTTGAAGAATAATTTAACATTGTTTACAGCGATAACAGCTCATCGTCGAAACAAAGCTAACCAATTCACGCTAGTCACAATAAACATCAATACCCTTGAATAGGCGTCAATGACTACGGCGAAACTTTTAGGCATCAGAAAAGATTAAAATAACACCTTAAAAACTGCCAAAAAATCGCCCTGGGCGGTTTTTAGGTCCCATTTTATTTTTTTACAAACCCAAACTGCTGTTTAATGGCCCTGGGCGAATTTACAGCAGAATCCGGTATATTGATTATTTTGTCAAATTGGCCAATCACATTATATGTTTTAATATTGACACAGACCAATTTTGGTAGTACAGTAGAGGTTGATTAAATAAAATCTTCACTGTTACAAGAACATAAACATGTATGGTGGCTCAAGTTTCTTTGTTTTGCTGAATTCAAGAACCTTATATTCTGCAATAATTTTATGACAGCATATCTTCTCAAAGAAATTGTATGTTAAAGCATTGTTGAGTTATATTGACATGTACAATGGAGCCAATCATGCAATATTGTCTTCTCACAGGAGTATCAGCTAGTCCATGTATGTTTCAATTTTTTATAAAGTTGTTTAGATGATAAGTTTACATTTATTAATTACAGGTAGTGTAAAATACCTTTGCCATATTTGGACATTGCATTACATCATTGCCCATATTTGGACATTAGATACATCACTGCCCATATTTGGACATTATATTACATCACTGCCCATATTTGGACATTGGATTACATCACTGCCCATATTTGGACATTGGATTACATCACTGCCCATATTTGGACATTAGATTACATCATTGCCCATGTTTGGACATTGGATTACATCATAAATTGCTAAGCTAAATCAGATATGACAAATCACCGCTATCAGAACTATAGCTTTTATAGACATTAAAGTTTTATATTATCATGCGATAATGTAAACCTCTATTCGCAAGTACCAGTAAATTCATTTTAACAAAAAGCTCCAAAATTTAATTAATTTTTTTTACATCTGATGGTTGTGATTTGTAACAACAATAATGAATTCCTCAGTGTCATATTGGATTCAGAGACATATTGGATTCAGGGCCATATTGGATTCAGGTACATATTGGATTCAGGGCCATATTGGATTCAGAGACATATTGGATTCAGAGACATATTGGATTCAGGGCCATATTGGATTCAGGGCCATATTGGATTCAGGGCCATATTGGATTCAGGGCCATATTGGATTCAGGGCCATATTGGATTCAGGGCCGTATTGGATTCAGAGACGTATTGGTTTC